TCCACGTCCCTGGTGGCCTCAGGCCCGGGGTTCCCGTTGTCACACGCCCTGTGGTTCTCAGGCCCGGGTTCCCGTTGTCGAGACATCCCGGTGTCTCGGGCCCGGGGTTCCCGTTGTCACACGTCCCTGGTGTCTCGGGCCCGGGGTTCCCGTTGTCACACGTCCCTGGTGTCTCGGGCCCGGGCTTCCCGTTGTCACACGTCCTGGTGTCTCAGGCCCGGGGTTCCCGTTGTCACACGTCCTGGTGTCTCAGGCCCGGGGTTCCCGTTGTCACACGTCCCTGGTGTTTCAGGCCCGGGGTTCCCGTTGTCACACGTTCCCGGTGTCTGAGGCCCGGGGTTCCCGTTGTCACACGTCCCCGGTGTCTCAGGCCCGGGGTTCCCGTTGTCACACGTCCCTGGTGTCTCAGGCCCGGGGTTCCCGTTGTCACACGTCCCCGGTGTCTCAGGCCCGGGGTTCCCGTTGTCACACGTCCCCGGTGTCTCAGGCCCGGGGTTCCCGTTGTCACACGTCCCCGGTGTCTCGGGCCCGGGGTTCCCGTTGTCACACGACCCTGGTGTCTCGGGCCCGGGGTTCCCGTTGTCACACGTCCCTGGTGTCTCGGGCCCGGGGTTCCCGTTGTCACACGACCCTGGTGTCTCAGGCCCGAGGTTCCCGTTGTCACACGTCCCTGGTGTCTCAGGCCCGGGGTTCCCGTTGTCACACGTCCCTGGTGGCGCCTTCGGAGCCGGTTTTCGGTCCCTCGGGGCCACCAGATTGTCCACGACGGGACCGGGTCACTCGAGGGTCCCGTTCCGCTCTGCGACTCTTCGTCGTGAGGGCTGACGCAGTTGGGTGTTCCCAGCGGGTGTCACGGGGACAGGCAGGGAGGCCAGGGGTCACAGAACATAAGAGACAGACACTGTCACAGGTAAGAGTTTGGGGCCGGGCGCGGAGGCTCACGCCTGTCATCCCAACACTCTGGGAGGCCGAGGCAGGAGGATCGGTCGAGGCCAGGAGTTGGAGGCCAGCCTGAGCAAGAGCGAGACCCCGTCTCTACTAAAAAAAAAAATAGAAAAAAAATAGCTGGACAACTAAAAATATATATATTAAAACAACGAGCCGGGCGTGGTGGCGCATGCCTGTGGTCCCAGCTACTCGGGAGGGAGGCCGAGGCAGGAGGCTCGCTGGAGGCCAGGAGTTGGAGGCCGCTGTGAGCGAGGCTGACGCCCCGGCACTCACTCCCGCCCGGGCGACAGAGCGGGACTCTGTCTCAGGAAAAAAAAAAGACAGTCCCATTTGGAAATGACAAAGTGTGGCGTCAGGTCTGCGTGGATCAGAGATGGCCTTTGACCTCTATTTGAATGACGTGTCACCCCCCGGCTGAGGGGTGGCCCGGCTGGGACTAGCCGGGTCGGGGAAGTGACAGGGGGGAAGGGGGACAAGGAAAAGGATCAAAGCTGTAGAATAAAAGGCCAGCCAAGACGGGGTCTCGCTCTTGCTCAGGCCGGCCTCCAACTCCTGGCCTCGACCGAGCCTCCCGCCTCGGCCTCCCTGAGTGCTGGGACGACAGGCGAGAGCCTCCACGGGTGGCTAATTTTTTGTATATATGTTTACTTGGGCAATTAATTTCTTTCTACTTTTTAGTAGAGACGGGGTCTCGCTCTTGGGCTCAGGCTGGCCTCCAACTCCTGGCCTCAAGTGATCCTCCTGCCTCGGCCTCCCTCCCGAGTAGCTGGGACGACAGGCATGCACCACCATGCCCGGCTCATTTTTTCTATATATTTTTAGTTGTCCAGCTCATTTCTTTCTTATTTTTTTACTAGAGACGGGGTCTCGCTCTTGCTCAGGCTGGCCTCCAACTCCTGACCTCGAGCCATCCTCCTGCCTCGGCCTCCCAGAGTGCTGGGGTTATAGGCTGGCCAATTTTTTCTCTATATTTTTAGTTGTCCAGTTAATTTCTTTGTATGTATTTTTTTTTAGTAGAGACGGGGTCTCGCTCTTGCTCAGGCTGGCCTCCAACTCCTGACCTCCATAGCGATCCTCCCGCCTCGGCCTCCAAGAGTTAATTTTATATATATATATATATTTTTTCAGTTGTCCAATTAATTTTTTCCTATTTTCATAGTAGAGACGGGGTCTCGCTCTTGCTCAGGCTGGCCTCCAATTCCTGACCTTCAGTGATCCTCCTGCCTCGGCCTCCCAGAGTGTTAGGATTACAGGCATGAGCAACTGTGTCCGGCTAATTTTTTTTCTATATATATTTTTAGTTGGCCAACTAATTTCTTTTTATTTTTAGTAGAGACGGGGTCTCGCTCTTGTTCAGGCTGGCCTCGACCTCCTGACCTCGAGCACGATCCTCCCACCTCGGCCTCCAAGAGTTAATTTTATATATATATATATTTTTTTTTTTCAGTTGTCCAATTAATTTCTTCCTATTTTCATAGTAGAGACGGGGTCTCGTTCTTGCTCAGGCTGGCCTCGACCTCCTGACCTCCAGCGATCCTCCCGCCTCGGCCTCCTCCCAGAGCGCTGGGATGACAGCACGGCCGGCCCACGCCGATTCCCTTTGCAAATGAGCACAGAAGTCCCCGCGTCCCTGCTTGAAGCCAGCCCATCAGCCCCGGGCCATCTGTCACCAGGCAGGCGACGTCCCTCTCACCCGGGGGCGGCCACTGTTCCCACGGCAGTGACGCACCTGGGAGCTGTCACCGGAGCCCGGGCGGCCCAGTCCCGGCTCTTGCCTTTGCGGTGTCTGCAGGGAGACGCAGGCGACAGGGACAGCCTGTGCTCGGTGCCGAGCCCCGGGCCTGGCCCCCGTGACTTCCAGCGGCTCAGGAGAGATAGCAGAGGGACGGGGGGCGGTGGAGGCCGGCCTCACCTTTCCTGCTCTCTGATTCTCCCCAGCGCGGAGGCCAGAACTGGAGGACACGAATGTGCCCGTGTGTTTAGCTCTCCTCCCGGCCCGCGGTCGCCCCTCTTTGATCACAGTTTTATTTTTTTTGAGGCAGAGTCTCACTCTGTCGCCCGGGCTGGAGTGCCGGGGCGTCAGCCTCGCTCACAGCAGCCTCCGACTCCTGGCCTCCAGCGAGCCTCCCGCCTCGGCCTCCCTCCCGAGTAGCTGGGACGACAGGCATGCGCCACCACGCCCGGCTCGTTTTTTTTTTTCTATATATTTTAGTTGTGCAGCTCATTTGCTTTCTTATTTTTTTTTTATTTAGTAGAGACGAGGGTCTCGGCTCTTACGCTCAGGCTGGCCTCACAAACTCGCTGCCTGCTGAGGGATCCTCCCCGCCTCAGGCCTCCAACCCGAGCTAAGCTGGGAACTCACCCAAGTGTGCGCCACCTACGCCGCCATTCTCCATTTTTCTATCTTTTTAATTTGTTTACATTTTTTGACACTTGCATCTGTCAACGGCCTAGAGTGCCGTGCGTCAGCCTCCGCCCACGCAGGCCTCCAACTCCCGTGGCGGGTTCAAGCGATCCTCCTGCCTCAGGCCTCCCGAGTTAGGCTGGGCTACAGGCATGGCACCACACCGCGCCGGCCACTCATATTTTCTATATACTTTTTAGTTGGCCAATTAATTTCTAATTTTAGTAGAGACGGGGGCTCTGAACTCAGCTGCTCAGCCTGCTGGCCTCCACTCGTGCTGCCTTCATTGAGCGATCTCCCCGCGCCCTGGGCCTCAACCAGAGTGTGGGGTTGCGTGAGCCAGGCGAGAGCCCGCCGTCGAGCCGGACCGGGTGAAGAGTTGCTAGTAAGCAATTTTTATTCGCTTTGTTCCGTCTTGCAAGGCCCGCTGGACGTGCTGAAGCCACCGGTTCCCCGGGTCAGGCGAAGCCTGCCTGGTCATATTTCCCCTCCCTGAGAAAGTCCACTAAATCGCTCTGCTGTCCCTTCGTTAAACGAGGACGGTGCTGCGGGCCCCCCGTTCCCGGGACTGCGCCGGGGACACTTGAGATTTGCCGGGGAAAAGCGCTCGCGAGGCGCTGCTGGGCACTCGGCAGCGACTGTCACCCTCCCATCGCTGTCATCGTTATCATGGCGCTCCGACTGTCCCCTAACCGGCCCTCGTGCCCTATTCATAGGCCCAATCCTCCAAGGCCACGGGCTCAGGTGACAGCGCTTAAGGCGGCTGGCGACATTCTCAATTGATTTAAAGCCAGCCGGTACCAGGACCCGAGCCCAAGGCGTGGGGGGGGGCTCACGCGCTGTCATCCGCGCGCTCTGGCAGGCCCCGATGGCGCGGAGGATCGCTCGAGGTCAGGAGTTGGAGGCCAGCCTGAGCAAGAGCGAGACCCCGTCTCTAATAAAAAAAAAAAATAGAAAGAAATGAGCTGGACAACTAAAAATATATAGAAAAAATATCCGGGCATGGAGGCTCACGCCTGTCATCCCAGCACTCTGGGAGGCGGAGGCAGGAGGATTGCTATTGAGGTCAGGAATTGGAGGCCAGCCTGAGCTAGAGCGAGACCCCGTCTCTACTAAAAATAGAAAGAAATTAGCCAAACAACTAAAAATATATAGAAAAGAAAACAAGCCGGGCGTGGTGGCGCATGCCTGTAGTCCCAGCTACTCGGGAGGGAGGCCAAGGCAGGAGGATTGCTGGAGGTCAGGAGGTTGAGGCCAGCCTGAGCAAGAGCCAGACCCCGTGTCTACTATTAAAAATAGAAAGAAATTCACCAAACAACCCAAAAATAGAAAAAACGAGCCGGGCGTGGAGGCGCGTGCCTGTAGTCCCAGCTACTCGGGAGGGAGGCCGAGGCAAGAGGCCCGCTCGAGGCCAGGAGTTGGAGGCTGCAGTGAGCGAGGCTGACGCCACGGCGCTCACTCCAGCCCGGGCAACAGAGCGAGGCTCTGTCTCGGAAAAAAAAAAAAAAATTTAAAAAGAAAATCCAGAGCCCAGAGCCTGACGTGGGGTTGGGGACACTCAGAATTGTCACTCCTGTCCCCCGTGCATCTCCTGCGCTGGCCCTGGGCTGGGGGCGTCCGCGCCGGTCGCCTCCCTGGCTTTAGGGAGTCTGGGGGAGAAGGCCAGCCTCTGAGGCCACCGCTGCCTCCTTCCCGGTTGTCACTTGGTCACCGGTCCCCCGGGGGAACTGTGTTTGTCAGCTGTGAAGCTTGTAGCCTCCACCCCCGGGAGTCTGGAAGCCACTAAGGGGAGGGGGGTGGAGGTCAGAGCAGCCTCCTTTTTCTGGGTTCTGTCCCCAGTCTGTCCCCTGCGCTTGTGAGCAGAGGCCACTAGGTGGCAGTGGAGGCCCGCACACTGGAGGCCGGCAGGGAGGATCAGGGCTGGGAGGAGAAAGGAGGCTGAAAGGGTGGGGACAGAGGAGGCCTCCTGTCCCCTCCTGTCCCCTCCCCTTTCCTTGGGGGACCCACATTTCTGGCCTCGCCCGGCCTCCCTTTGTCCTCGCCTCCCCTGGGGACAGGGGCAAGGCTGGGGCCCCGTTCACCAGGTTGGTGCTGTCCAGAGCGGACTCTACTTCCCCCAGCCTCTACAAGGCCGCCAGCTAGGGGGGCAAGGGCTCTGTCTTGTCAAAGTCACCGCGGGTGGCTTCGCTGCGGCCCAGGAAAAGAAACGTACAGGCAGAATAGTTCGGGCCGGGCGCGGAGGCCCACGCCTGTCGGCCCGGCTACTCTGGGAGGGAGGCTGAGGCAGGAGGATCGCTCAATGAGGTCAGGAGGTGGAGGCCAGGCTGAGCAAGAGCGAGACCCCGTCTCTAGTAAAAATAGAAAGAAATTAGGGGGACAAGTAAAAATATATAGAAAAAAACGAGCCGGGCATGGTGGTGGCGCACGCCTGTCGTCCCAGCTACTCGGGAGGGAGGCCGAGGCGGGAGGCTCGCTCGAGGTCGGGAGTTGGAGGCCAGGGCTGAGGCTGTTTGGACTCCTTCTGGCAGATGGCGGGGAGGACGTGGGAGGATTCCTTCGACAAACACGTCCTTGTCCTTGGCCTCGTTCTGCGAAAACAAGCAGATTCCCAGCGTGCCGTGGGCGGACCGAGCTTTGGCGGCCACACGGATTTTCGTTGTCGCAGCCCAGAGAAAGGGCAGGGACACGGCAGCTTCCTGGTTATGATTATTACTATTTTATTGTTTTTTTATTGAGGTTATTATTTTTATTATTTTTATTTTTTATTGAAATTACTTTTATTATTATTATTTTATTTATTTTTTATTGAGATTATTATTATTTTTTATTTTTTTATTGAGATTATTATTTTATTATCATTTTGTTTTTTATTAAGATTATTATTTTTATTTTTTATTGAGATTATTATTTTTATTATTATTATTTTATTATTTTTATTGAGATTATTATTTTATTTTTTATTGAGATTATTTTTATTATTTTTTTTATTTTTTATTGAGATTATTATTTTTATTATTTTTTTATTGAGATTGTTATTTTTTATTGAGATTATTTTTTTTATTATTTTTTATTGAGATTATTATTTTTATTGAGATTTTTTTATTGATATTTATTATTTTATTATATTTTTATTGAGATTATTATTATTTTCATTATGGGGACAGAGTCTCGCTCTGTCTCAATACCGATTATTATTATTATTTTTTATTATCAAGACAGAGTCTCGCTCTGTCGCCCGGGCCCGAGTGAGTGCCGTGGCGTCAGCCTCGCTCACAGCGGCCTCCGACTCCTGGCCTCCAGCGAGCCTCCCGCCTCAGCCTCCCTCCCGAGTAGCTGGGACGACAGGCACGCGCCTCCACGCCCGGCTCGTTTTTTTTTTCTATATTTTTTTTAGTTGTCCAGCTCGTTTCTTTCTGTTTTTTTAGTAGAGCCGGGGTCTCGCTCTTGGGCTGAGGCTGGCCTCCACCTCCTGACCTCGAGCGATCCTCCCGCCTCGGCCTCCCAGCGTGGCGCTGTTCCTGGCGTGAGCCACCCGGCCCTGCCCGGACTTGCCACCCTGGTGACCGGCTGCTGGGTCCAGGGACACCCCCCAGAGGTGGCCCTTGTAGTGTTGAAGCCCAGCTCGGGGCTGTGTCCCTTTTGGCCTCTTGGAGGCCGAGGAGGACGAGGACGAGGGGATGAGGCTCTGGTAGCCAGGGCTGCGGCTCCTTCTGGTGGCATTCTGGTGGCATCCCGCCGGGCCTGCCCCGGCTGGCCCGCCCCGCACGCCTGCCATGCCTGCGGCTCTCTCGGGGGACTCGCGGTCCCTGGAATCCGGGTGGAGCCAGTGTAAACACCGCCCCGGGCGTGGCCTGTGTGGACACGTTCCACCCGGAGTCTGTCTCAGCCTCTTCTCGCCCGAATCCCGGCCTCTCTCGCTGTTCCCTTTTATTTTATTTTATTTTATTTTATTTTATTTTATTTCATTTTATTTTATTTTATTTTATTATTATTATTTTTTTTGAGGCAGAGCCTCGCCCTGCAGATTTAGAGGCCCCAGACCGGGTTTCCCAGCCTCTCTCTCTCTCTGTGCGGCCTGAGGGAACTTTCTAGCCCCCGTGTGACTCTTGGACCTTGGAGGAAGAAACTGTCACAGGCGTTTTGTCACATGCTCGGCTGTCAGCCCCGTGTGTCGAAAACCGGCAGGAGCGGGGCCTTCCCGCCTTCCCGACTCGCCCAAGAGCCTTTCCCTGTTTGCGCGTTTTGTCTTTCGTCTCTGTTCTTCTTTTCTTTTTATCGTTGTTTATTTATTTATTTTTTTAAATTTTATTTATTTACTTATTTGTTTTTTATCCTGAGACAGAGTCTCGCTCTGTCGCCCGGGGCCGGAGTGAGCGCCGGGGCGTCAGCCTCGCTCACGGCAGCCTCCAACTTTTGAGGCTCAAGCGAGCCTCCTGCCTCGGCCTCCCTCCCGAGTAGCTGGGACGACAGGCATGCGCCTCCACACCCGGCTCGTTTTTTCTATATATTTTTAGTTGTCCAGCTCATTTCTTTCTATATTTCTTTAGTAGAGACGGGGTCTCGCTCTTGCTCAGGCTGGCCTCCAACTCCTGACCTCGAGCGATCCTCCCGCCTCGGCCTCCAAGTAGCTGGGACTACAGGCATGCGCCACCACGCCCGGCTGATTTCTTTCTATATATTTTTAGTCGTTTAGCTCATTTCTTTTCTATTTTTTTTTTTAGTAGAGACGGGGTCTCGCTCTCGCTCAGGCTGGCCTCCACCTCCTGACCTCAATTGAGCGATCCTCCCGCCTCGGCCTCCCTCCCAGAGCGCCGGGATGACAGGCGAGAGCCTCCGCGCCGGGCCCTGATCTGTCTTCAGTGGGCAGGACATGGGCCGCTCTCGACCGGCAGGGCTGGGACCACGTGTCCCCGGTCTCCAAGGCCACCCTGCTCAGCTCTGCCACCACGCCGGGCAGCCGGAGGCCCCGGTTGAGGCCGGCGGCCTCCCCGGGAGGCCGAGCCCGCGTCCGTCGGTCCTGCTGGGTTCGCACCCCTGCCTGGAGGGTCGCCTCTGGGCGTGCGCGGGAAACGGCCTCGCCTGGCATTCGTTGCTCGCGATGCTGCGGTTTCCCTCGGCCTCCGGGGAATTCTCTAGTCTGTCTGTATCTGAGTCACTGTCGCCGTGCTCCGTGACAGCCGATTATCTCAGCCTGACAGGTAGGCACAACCGCCTCGTTAAGTGCAGGCGGATCTGTGTGTGTGGTGTAGAAAGAAAAAAATGGAACATTCCGTCAGCCTCAAAAAAAAAAAAATTAAGAATAGCATTAGCCTCTTTTTTTTCGTGAGCTCAATATTTCAAATATTTGCAGTCATTAAATTTATAAAATGGGAGTGAAGTCATCACTCTTCGTTTCTTTTTTTTT